TCTCAGCCATTTGAGATTATTCTGTTGAGAATTCTCTGTTTAGGCCCATAGCCCATTTTTAAATTGGATTATTTGTTTTTCTTCTGATGTCTAGTTTCTTGAGTTCTTTATATATTTTGGATATCAGCCCTTTGTTAGATGTGGGGTTGATGAAAATCTTTTCCCATTCTGTAGGCTGACGTCTTTGTCCTATTGACAGGATCCTTTGCCGTATAGAAGATTTTTAGTTTCATAAGGTCTCATTTTATTCATTTTAGTATCTGTGCTACTGGTGTTATGCTCAGGAAGTTGTCTCTTGTGTCAATTCAATTAAGGCTATTTTCCACCTTTTCTTCCATTGGGTTCAGTGTAACTGGATATATGTTGAGGTCTTTGATCCACTTGGACTTTTGTCCAGGGTGACAGATATAGATCTATTTTCATTCTTCTATATGCAGGCACCCAGTTGGAGCATCACCATTTGTTAAAAATGCTTTCTTTTCTCCATTGTATAATTTTGGCTTCTTTGTCAAAGACAAGGTGTCCGTGTGTGTGGATTTATGTCTGAGTCTTTGACTGGATTCCATTGATTCACCTATCTATTTTTATGCCAATACCATGCTGTTTTTGTTACTATGGCTCTGTAGTAGAGCTTGAAATCAGGGATGGTGATCTCTGTGGAAGTTCTTTATTGTACAGGATTGTTGTAGCTATCCTATTTTTTCCCATATGAAATTGGGTGTTGTTCTTTCAAGGTCTGTAAGGAATTGTATTGGAATTCTGATAGGGGTTGCATTAAATCTGTAGATTGCTTTTGGTAAAAAGGGCATTTTTACTTTGTTAATCCTACTGACCCATGAGAATGGCAGATTTTTCATCTTCTGATATCGTCTCTGAATTTCTTCTTCAAAGACTTGAAATTCTTGTCATACAGGTCTTTCACTTGCTTGGTTGGAGTTACTCCAGAATATTATATATTGTTTGTGGCTATATTAAAAGATGTTGTTTCTATGATTTCTTTCTCAGTCTGTTTGTCATTTGTATATAAATTTCCTGGTAGAATTTTTGGGGTTGCTTATAAATGCTATCATGTCATCTGCAAATAGCGATACCTTAACCTCTTTTCTAATTTGTGTCCCCTTGATCTCCTTTTGCTGTTCTGTTGCTAGAACTTTGAGTACTATATTGAATATATATGGATAAAGTGGACAGCCCTGTCTTGTTCCTGATTTTAGTGGAATTTCTTTGAGTTTCTTTCTATTTAATTTGATATTGGCTGTCAGGTTGCTGTATATCGCTTTTATTATTTTTAGATATGCCCCTTGTATCCCTGGTTTTTCAAGACTTTTTTCTTTATCATGAAGGGGTGATGAATTTTGTCAAAGGCTTTTTCAGCATCTAATGAGATGATCATGTATTATTTTCTTTCAGTTTGTTAAAATGTGATTACAATGACAGATTTTTGTATGTTGAATCATCCCTGTATCTCTGGGATGAAGCCTATTTGACCATGCTGGATGATGTTTTTGGTGTCTTCTTAGATTTTGTTTGCTAGTGTTTTATTGAATAATTTTACACCAATGTTCATGAGTGAAATTTGTCTGTAATTCTCTTTCTTTGTTTACACTTTGTGTGGTTTGGGTTTCAGGGTAAATGTGCCTTATAGAAAGAATTTGGCAATGTTCATTCTGTTTCTATTTTTGTGGGACAATTTGAGGAGTATTGGTATTAGCTCTTCTTTGAAAGTCTGGTAGAATTCTGCATTGAAACTATATGGCCCTGGGCATTTTTTTTTTTTTTTTGGTTGGGATACTTTTAATGACTGCTTCTGTTTCCTGAGGGGTTATGGTCTATTTAAATTGTTCATCTGATCTTGATTTAATTTTAGTATGTGGTATTTTTCAATAAAGTTGTGTATTTCTTTTATAATGAGTGCAAGTTTTTGAAGTATGACCTAATGATTCTCTGGATTTCTTCAGTGTCTGTTATTTCATCCCTGATTTAGTTTCTGATTTTGTTAATTTGGATATTCTCTCTCTGCTTTTTAGTTAGTTTGGATAAGGGTTTGTCTATCTTGTTGATTTTCTCGAAGAATCAACTCTTTGTTTCACTGACTCTTTGTATTGCTCTCTTTGCTTCTATTTTATTGATTTTTTAGCCCTCAGTTTGGTTATTTCCTGCTGTCTACTGCTCTTGGGTGTGTTTGCTTCACTTTATTCTAGAGTGTTAAGGTGTGTTGTTAAGTAAGTAGTATGAGATCTCTCCGAACTCTTTACTCAGGCACCTAGTGTTACAGCCTTTCCTTTTAGCACTGCTCTCATTGTGTCTAATAGGTTTTGGTATGTTGTGCATTTCACTGAATTCTAGGAAATTTATATTTCCTTATTTCCTTGACCCAATGGTAATTCTGTTGAGAATTGTTCAGTTTCTATGAAATTGTAGGCTTTATATATAAAGTCTTGTTGTTGAATTCCAACCTTAATCCATGGTGATATGATAAGCTACAGGGGCTTATTTGTATTTGTTAAAAGTTGCTTTGTGACTGCATATGTGGTCAATTTTGGAGAAGGTTCCATGAAGTACTGAAAAGAAGGTACATTCTTTTGTGCTTGGTTGAAATATTCTGTAGATGTCTGTTAAGTCAATCTGAGTCATAACATCTGTTAGTTCCATTAATTCTCTGTTTAGTTTCTGTCTGGATGACCTGTCCATTGGTGATAGTAGGGTGTTAAAGTCTACCACTATTAGTGTAGTGGTGGTGCTTGATGTGATTTAAGCTTTAGTAATGCTTCCTTTACAAATGTGTGTGCCTTTGTGTGTGGAGCATAGATGTTCAGAAATGAGACATCACCTTAGTGGACTTGACCTTTAATGTATATGAAATGCCCATCTCCATCTCTTCTGATTAATTTTGGTTTGAAGTCTATTTTATTAGCTATTAGAGTAACTACACCAGCTTGTTTCTTAGATCTGTTTGATTGGAAAATATTTTTCTAATTCTTTACATTGAGGTAGTGTATGTCTTTGATATTGAGGTGTTTCTTGAATGCAGCAGGATGGACCCTGTTTTCATATCCATTCTGTTAGCCTGTGCTCAGGGTGTGGTGGCTGTCCAGCTGGAGGGGGGTGTCACTCATCAGCTAGTTGACTGGTGAGGGCTGCAACAGAGCAGTGGGATTCCTCCAGAGCTGGGGACAGGGAACAGCAGTGGTGCTGTGGCTGAGATCAGAGCGGGTGGGCCACAGGACAGGAAAGTCATTCACCAGTTCTGGCTTGTTTGGCCTGGGCCTGCTTGGTGGAAGTCTTCTGGGTTTGGCATCAGGGCACAACAGAGGGGCTGGGAAGGCATGGACTTTGGAAGGGTCCTGGAGGCAGACTCTTTCTGGCTGGTGTGGTCTTGACATCAGTGGCAGAAGTCCCCTTGGGTTAGGGGGTAGTGCCCAGAAGCAGCAGTACCAGGGATGAGTTGGGATGGCAAGGGCTTGAGGAAAGGTCATGGGGGAAAGAATCCATGCAGGGGTACAGTTCTGTAGTAGGCGGGTCACTCACCCATTCTGGCTTGTGTGGCCTGGGGCTGCTTGGCCAAAGTCTTCTTATGGCTTCTCTTTTTAACTGTGCTTTTTGCTTATCATTTATAAAAAACTGAGCTGGAAATAAATCTAAAATTAAAATTAGTTCAGGAAACATGCCACAAAAGAATATATGAGAGAAGATAAGCTGAAATTGTCAATCCTAGTTTATGTTAGAGAAAAAGGAACGAAATGGTAAGTTCAGGAGTTTGAGGGGAGTAAGCAAGAAGCTGAAGGCTTTCACAGAGCTTAAGAAATGGAGTGCACTTTATTAGTAATATTTAATCGTTCCGGTGATTCTTTGATGTTTTTATGCCTATAATCAAGATACAAAAAGTAAGAATTAAATCAGAGAAAAATAAACTAATTTTGAATCTTTGATGTGACAAATACAAATAAGCAAATGAAAGAAATGAAAGTCCTCCCTAGAAATATTCTGAGGATTATTGATGGCAAACTGAAGTCACATGTCTGGCCATCTTTGGCTGGGTTTGGTTTCTGTATAGGTTTATGAGCTATTTTTCTTAAAGTGATTGCTTTTGCTCTTTAATCTGCCTTGAAAATAGTGGTGTGTACCTAAATCTATACATTCCACCTGTATAAATTCTGCTTCTTCCCTCCTTCTCCCCATTCTCACTCCATTCCCCTTGCAGATGGTTGAACCGGGGCCTCATGCGAGCTACACAAAAGCTTTACCAATAGCCTAGCCCTTAAGGTCCTTCTCAGACAGGCTTTTTTTTTTTTTTTTTTTTTTTTTTTTTACTGGCCCTGTTTTCTGATTTAGCTAAACTTTTTGAATCTGGTAAAACATCCTCATTTCTCAGTGAACCACCAGCAACACAAGCATACAAGCGATGACTAGCTTAGAGCAAGGTATTACTGTAGGTCACACGTAATGTGTGTGTGTGTGTGTGTGTGTGTGTGTGTGTGATGTAAAAATCTTAACAGTGGCAATGTTGAAGCAACCATATACAATACTATGTGCTGTAAAAATTTTTAACAGTGGCGGCATTTAAAAGACATATGCAGTACTACACAGTAAGGAAAACGTATTCTTCAAGTTCCAGCATTTTCAATTTCTGTTAAGATGGGGTAAAACTTATTAAACTTTTTAAATCCCAATTTTTAAATTAATAAAAAGAGGATTGGCGATGTAGCTCCTTGGTAGTGTGCTTTCCTGGTGTGAACAAGGCCCTGGGGTCATCCCCAGCATAAAGCCACTCTCCAACAAAGCAAAAGTCTGTCTGAAAGAATAAAATGAAATGTTGCACGCGAGAAGCCTTCGGGAATATCTGCTCACACACCGCACAAATGTTTGTAGTTGGTGACAATCAGAATTAAAACAACGGGGTTCTTGAGCTGAAGAAACTCCAATCAGGCTCATCTCCAGGCAGGGGAAGCCGCGGGTTGCCACGTGACGTCATCACCCCGCGCCTTGAGCAAAGTGTGCTTCCTCGCTGGCCCGGGAAGAACCGCGCACCATGGGGCCCTGGCGGCGTCTTCTGCTCTCTGGCGGGGTGTCACTCTGGGGTGGTGGCGGGGCCGCTGTCCCGCCCCTGGGGCGCCGAGCCCTGGGTTGTGGGCGCCAGGTGTGTGCCGAGTGCGGGAGGGGAAGGTGCGAGCCTGATGGCCTGCAAGCTCCCACTAGTGTGTCCCCTAGAAGGTTCCCCAGAAGGGGTCCTTGGGCTTGTGGTTCCCAAACTCCCTTGAATATGGATGAATGGCGTGCACATTGCTCTCTTGGCTTGGGGTTCCTTAGTGAATAGGTTAAAGAGAAGGAAAATACGCGGAGGGCATAACTCGGTAAAAAGGCCACTTTGCGTTTTTAACATCCTCACTTGGCAGACAAATTTCAACTCCCAACCATTTATCTTTGCAGTTGATATTAATTGTCGATAAATAGCACCTAAAGGCTAAATTAGTGCTCATGGACAGAATTAGAAAAGAAATCCCTGTTAAACTAAAACCCTGGATCACTTTCACTTCTACAGAATAGTAATCCAGTAATGAGGTTGATTGATTTTTTTTTTTTTTTTTAAGTTATTAGGCGCTGAAGGTGAGTCCTTGAAACAAAGAAGAGCACAAATCATGTCCCGAGGACTTCCTAAGCAGAAACCCATAGAAGGTGTTAGAGAAGTTATTGTTGTGGCCTCTGGAAAGGGTGGAGTTGGAAAGTCCACCACAGCAGGTATTGTAAGGCATTCATTTCCCTCTGTAAATGATCACTTTTCAGGTTTAGTATTGGTGGTGTTTCTGACATGTGGTTCCCCAGTATTAGGACTTGTTGATGAGTGGCAACCAAATTGAACATGTGAGCAGATTGTATAGTCAACTGAGCAAAAAGTAGTTAGGTTGTCTACAAAAAGTAGTTAGGTTGTCACTTAACTGGGAAGTGGAGATAATCTCTTCCATAGGATGATATGCAAATTTAACTACTTGGCCCATTGTCTTTTCATAGACATCCTCAGTAATTGGTTGCTTTTACTTTAAAAACATCCAGTAATGGCATACTAAATTATTTCTGCTTTTTTCCAGTCATCAGTGTATATACAGCTGTATATTTGCAGTTTGTTATTGTGGTTATTTTTCATTTAATCACACATTAATCACACACATTTAATCATTTGCACCATTCATAAAGTCACCAAATGCTAATCATCTTTGAAAATGCTTGATAAGGTTTAACATTGTTTTAGGGTTTTTTTTTTTTTTTTAATATTTTATACCCTACCTAGTTTTTCAGTGTGTGTATGTTCCTATGTTCTGGTGCATTGTGTTTGGATGGCAAAGGCTAACATTGGGTGTCTTTATTGCTCTCCAACTTTTTTCAATGGCTGGCTGGTCCTTGAGCTCTTGGGATCTGCCTGTCTCAACCCTCTTCTTCCCAGTGCTGTGGTTATGCTCGGGCTCTTGTGCTCTTATGGCAGGTATTGTACCTATTTTGAACCATTACCCCCACCTAGCTACTTCATATCCTCTATATTAATATAGTAGTGATGGAGAGTTTTTTTTTTTTTTTCGTGGCCCTTTTCCATGACTGTAGATGTGTCACGAAGATGCTATTTTAGCACCGAGGATCATGAGTTCTAAAACAGGATTAACACTCAAGACTCAAAGTTATTTCCAAATAGAACCTTATTTCTAAAGAGATTATAAGGAACAATAATGTGAGAAACTTGTTACAGCCCTACACATTATGTAATTTGAAGGCTCTACACACATCTTTGTGCTGTCACCTCAAGCAGTCTGAGGAGTTCTCCTAAAGAAAGGTTTCTGCTTAAAAGTTATATGATGATTAACCTATTATATATCTGGAATTCAAAATTATCTTGTAACATATAAGAGTGGATTTATTAGTACCATGCTTTAGTTAAATGCCTTATATACAGTATTCTTTTAATTCTCACAACAGTTTTAAGAGGAGGAGGTACCTTTATGTTATAATGGAGGGGGCAGACTGACCTTAAATAGCAGTCAGGGTTGTACAATGATAGGAGGTGGCGGAGCTCAGTTCAGATTCAGGTCTGCTTTGCTGTTTATGCTTCCAACTACTTTCCTTATAGTATTGACAGCATTGTTCTGCAAGGAAATGGGATTCACACTATGGAAAATGGGCAGTATGAAACCTTATTCATTTATCAGTCTCACAAATACAGTACGTTAGGTTCTCTTCTCAGCTGTAGCCCAGCTGCAGAGCTGGCTAACTATGCTTTTGGATACCGCTTTCCTCCTTCTTGTCTCTAGGGCATAGGTATTTTGGCTACCATTCTTTACCCCTTACCATTTATCTTCCTCACTTCCTTCTGTGCAGTGTCCTAGCTTTTTGTATACTTGTGAATGTATGAGTTATATACTCGGGTGCCTATAACAGCACTTATTTTAAAATGTAAACAGACTATATCTAAGTAAACAGACCTCATTGCTCTTTTACCAGTGAGGGAAATGTTGAAAGGTGAGTTAATTTGCACAGAAGGAACGTTACTAAACTGAATTCTTTCTGTTTCTTTCAGTGAACCTTGCTCTTGCACTGGCAGCGAACGATCCGGTAGGTATTCATCAATAGGAATATTAATGCATCACAATGTTTTTATGGCAGTGATGAAGTGTTGTTGCCCAAAGCTATACAGTCCAGTTTCAGTCAGTTGCACATTTTTTAAGGTACTAACAATGCTGCCATTAGTACCGCTTCATTTGGTAACAGTGGTATAATTAAATGTTGGCCATGTATCCCATGATATACTTTCATGTTCTTGCACAGAGGCCATTTTTTTTTTTAATAAAAATTTACTGTTACAGTCCATATCTGTGGTAGTAATATTCTATATTCTGGGTTGAACTCTTTTTTTTTTTTTTTTTTTTTTTTTTTTTTTTTGAGGCTAGGTCTATAGAATGAATCCCAGCAATGTCTATACCTTGTAGCCCAAGCCAGCTCAGAATCCTTTTGCTTCAGCTTCCAAGGTCCTAAGAGTATAGACATGGGCTCCCACGCCTGCCTGGATCAGGCAGAAATTAGTTTCAACTTATTTTTTTTTAAAAAGTTAAAAGATACTCTAAAAGTAGTGCTAGTCATTTGGAGTACGATTTAATAGAATATGTGTATAATGTAAGACTGAAAGATTGTCCAATCTCTCCTTTATACCATAGGATTAACTGTAGGATCATTTTGTATGTATTTATTCAGCTTTTCACCTCTTCATATACAAATTGAACCCACACGTACATGCATATTTTTGTGATAGCCTTCATTCCTCTTTTTAAAAGAGTTATTTTTTTATTTATATGTGTGTTTGCATGAATTTATGTCATGATGTGTGTGTGCAGAACCCTGAGGAGGCCAGTGCCCAGGAATTGGAATTATATGCAGTTGTGAGCTGCCATGTTGGCTCTGGAAACAGCACTCAGGTCACCTGCAAAAGCAGCAGTTTCTCCTAATGGCTGAGCCATCTCTCCAGCCCTGTACCTCATTCTGTGACTGAGCCATCTCTCTCCAGCCCTGTACCTCATTCTGTGACTGAGCCATCTCTCTCCAGCCCTGTACCTCATTCTGTGACTGAGCCATCTCTCCAGCCCTGTACCTCATTCTGTGACTGAGCCATCTCTCCATCCCTGTTCCCCATTCTGTGACTGAGCCATCTCCAGCCCTGTACCTCATTCTGTGACTGAGCCATCTCCAGCCCTGTACCTCATTCTGTGGCTGCTGTTTTCAAGGTTGATCACTGTTCTTTTGAGCGAGCCTTTAGGTTGGTTCCCTTTCCCCACTTACTTCAGTTAAAAGCCAATAGGATTTATTTTTTTTCTTGGGACAGTTGGATTGGTGCTGTACCACTGACCTCCCTAGCCCATTGCAATGGCTTTGGGATTTTTCTTTTAACTTTTATGAAAAAACTTTAAAAAGCAATTTCAATCATATTCTTTCTCCTCCCCCAACTCTTCCCAGATCCTCCTCATCTTCTTTTCTACTCAACTTCATGTTCTCTTTGAAAAATCAAAAACAGGAAAACAACATTAACCAAAGCCAAAACAGACAATGAACTGAAAAATAAAAACCAAAACCAACCAACCAACCAAAAAAAAAAAAAAAAAAAAAAAAAAAAATCCAAGGAAACAAAAACAGACCTAAACCAAAGCAAAAAGAAAAAGAACACAAAAACCAAAACAAAAATATGGAGTCTACTTTGTGTTTCCTAGCCAGTCCTGGGCATGGAGGAGTATGGTTGATAAGCCCAGTGACACTCCACTGGAGAAAACTGAGTTTCTGTTTTGCAACAGGTATCAGTTGCAGATAGCTTCTTGGTTCAGGGTGGGACTTTGTGTCCACTTCCTCTTCTCAGTGCTGTGAGTTTGTCTGGTTCTAACTCGTGCAGAATCTTTTAAGTTATATGTGTGTCAGTCCTGTTGTATATGGAAGATGCTGTTTCCCTGGAGTCATCTACCACCTGTGCCTCTTCTATATTGATTCCTGAGTCTTAAGGGAGGGGTTGGGTGAAGACACCCCATTTATGGCTGAATGCTCCAAAGTCTCTAAGTCTGTGCAAATTGTTTAATAGTGTGTGTCTGTGCTAGTTCCCAGCTATTACAGGGAGAAGCTCTAATGCAGATCGAGTGATGCATTGATCTATAGGTGTAGAAAGGTTTCACTAGGAGTTACTTTAGCAGAAAAATAGTATTAGGTTTTTCTCAAGGCTTATGATTTATATAATCTGAGGTTCTTGGCCACTTTAGCAGGGTCTGGTATGGGTTTTATCTCATGGAGGCCTTAAATCCAATCAAAAAATGTTTGGTAACTGCCATAACATTTGTGACTCTGCTGTACAGGCATAGCTTCAGGCAGGAGTGGGTCTCAGGATTTAGAGCTGGGTGAAATTGATGATTTCTTCACTGGTAGCATGCAAGGTATTTTCCAGCATCATGAACACTAGTCAGGAGAGGTGAATTTTCTGGTTTGCATCTGCTCAACTTCTCCATGTTCAGTGACATAAGTGAACGTTGTCTTTGGCAATAGGGCCTTACCATCACATAATGGAGAGTAACCAGTAACCTGTGATGTTTACAGGTGTGTGTGTGTGTGTGTGTGTGTGCACGTGCACACATGTGGATGTGTGTATTTGTGTAGGCACACGTGTGCTGTGGGTATGAAGATCAAAGGACTTTAGGGAGTTGGATCCCTTCCACCTTGTATTTGAGATTTGAGGCAAGGCCTCTTCAGGCTGGCTGGCTTACAACTTGGAAATTTTCTTGCTTCTGCCTTCCATCTCACAGTGGGAGTTCTGCAGTTATAGATAAACCTCATCATTTTGGTGTTGTATGTGGGTTCTGAGGTCAAACTTAGGCTGTGAGGCTTGTGTGGCAAGTGCTTTTACTGAACCATTTCTCTATTCTTACAGTGTTAGTCTTATATTGTAGTCTTACATACTATATGTTATATTCATGCTCTCCAGAAGGTATGCTTCCTCTTTTAGGTATAGTTGATAGGAATACATCTTTTTAAATACTCTCATTTATGATAGGTATTATCTATCTTTTAGGTATTAAAAGTAGAAATGAAAATGAACACTGAACATAGTATGTAATACTGCAAGCCATTAGTTAATAATATATACCTATTTTATAATCTGTTTTAATTTCCCTTTCATATATATGAAATATATGTTTCATTTGGTTTCTTATTTCTAATTTAGTATTTTTAAAAATGTCCTAGCATATTTCATATTTACATTAAAATATATAAATACATGTTTAAAGTATAAATACATATACACACATGAAACACAGGTAAGCCTTATTATTGTATTTAGCTGTGGCTGTACTTGTCACTTATTTTCTGTCATGCTGTTTTAGTTCCCTGTGGTCAGCACACATAGAAAACTGGTATTTGCTATGTATGCAAGTGTTCTGCTAAGACAGGGAGCCAGAATTTGCTAGACTGCAGAGCTAGGCATGTTCATGTATCAAGATTTTGGCCCTGTTTTCTGAAAATGTGAGGGTTATTACCTATTCACAGTATTTGCTTGTATAAACTTGATTCACTGTAGAAGCAGGTATCCTAACTGTATTAGTAGGGGAAAAATCCTGCACTGGTTCTTTAAAGTTGTGCCCCTGCCTCAAGGAAATTCTACTATCAAGTCAAATTAAAAAACCCATTTCTCTACAGCTCTCTTCCTTTGTAGGGACATGCCTTCTTGCATCTCATCTTATCTTGTCCTTTTTCTTGAATTCCCCCCGTCCCCATGCATCCTTGGGTTCTTTTGTGGTTTGATGGGCAGATAAGTGACTAAAGGTGTCTCCATCTTATTTCACGAAGCCCACCTTTAATGGCAAAAGAGACTTGGCATAATTAAGGCAAACTTCTTGAGATAGGAAGGATACTTTAGATTTCCTGGTACGTTCAGCTTAATCCTAGTGAATGGGGGTGGTGGTGGTAGCGGGGGAAGAGTCAGATCTCATATGAGGAGGAGGTGAAAGGAACTAGAAGCAGTGTGTCATTCTGCCCATACCACAGCTGTCACTCAGTGATACCCATTGGGCTTCCTTAGGAAAGAAGTGTCAGGTGAGTACATAGAGAGGGTCAACTCTCCTCGTTGTTTAATTTCTGAAGATAGCTTTATTCTTTCTTTGTATTTGATATTTTAACAAAGATGTACAACTTAAGGCTCAAAATCACTTTTTGAACATTGAAAACAATAACTCCATTTTCTTCTGACATACTAATGAAAATGCCTGATGCTATTATAGGACTCAGTAATAACATGTGTTGCTTCCCCCCAAAGCTTTTAAGGTTTTCTTTATGGCTCTTAAAGTTTAAAATTGTCACAAATATTTGTCAGGTTGTTGGCTTTAAAAGGTGTTGCATGCTTGGAAATTGGCCTGAGTGTTTTCTGTTTAGGGCACCTTCTCTTCATTGATGTTTGTGCTCATCACAGAAACCCATTACGAGGTACTGACTTGCATGCATTCTTTTTCTCTTGTACTCTTCGACTGTTCACCATTTGTGTTTCCCAAGAATCCTTAAACTCTTTTGTATATACTCCTCTATTCAATTCTAGTTATTTAGCCCTTCTACATTTTTTTTTTTTTAAGTTTGGAGATTGCTTTCTCCAATTTTCTAGACTGTTTCTTACTTTCAACTTATTGTTTCTTCAAAAAAAGGAGCATTTTCTTGACTCTGAATCTGATTAGAATTAGTTAAGAATAATGTGGTTCCCCCCCCTTTTTCTGTTTTCTTTTTGGTCTCCATTTATTTAGAACAGTAGGATAGTTGCTTTCATAGTGCCCTCTAACCAGCAGAATCAGTACACTTGGGGAATTTTTAGACACACAAAAGTTCAGCCCTTCTTTAGACCTTAAAAAATCAGAAATCCTAGGTGCAGCAGAGGGCCATGCACTCTGTCTTAACCCTCCCTCTAGGTGTAGCAGAGGGCTGTGCAGTCTTTCTTAACTCTTCCTCTAGGAGGTTTAGTGCTGAAGTCTGAAACCATGGATCTAGGGTTCTCTTAAATATCATCTAATCTGCTAATGGTCCCTTTTCTTCAGGGTAAGAATAGCTTG